GTTACTAGAATCAATTAAGAGAGAAATCTTTGAAATGCAGAAATTGAAGGTAAACAGAAGCAAGTTTTCAGGATTAAGAGCGCTGATTAAAAAACTGCTTGCATCAAACAATACCACTGGGGGGGGGGGAGATATACACAGACTGAATTCTTTTATTGTGTACATAGGACAGAAGTCTTTTCTAATCAAGTGCTTAGGAAATGCAAAAGTCTGGACATGAAAATTACATGGACAATAAGTCTTTTTTCTCGAGGGTGACCAAGACGGCAGAAGGATGATCATTTTGGTTTTTTTATCCACTACAAGACATTCTTTAATCTCCAGCTGAAAATATTAAGATGATGTTACGCAGAGGCATTTGTAATAAGTAGTCACTAAAAAGGGCAGGCTTCTGATGTTAATAAGGAAATCTAATTTACTTGCCAAGTATAAAGATTGGACAAGAATATTAAAGTGAAAGATGTCCCTGAAAAACAAGGGCAACAATTCTAATCTTTATTCTGTAAAAGCTGACCTACTTATATAACCCTGAAAGAGCTGTCCTTGAACTATTAATGTTGAGAGACATCCCATTTTAGAACTGCTTACACAAAGATTCCAACAAAATTTCTTGCAAGGTATTTAAAGAGCTCAAAGCAGTGAAAGAGGGAGGAAATGCTTTGTTTACTGTGCTCTACTATCAGCTATACCAATACTAAAAATTTTCATTGCCCACAGGGGTCCACCAATGCAACTATGACAGGACCCTACACAAAAGCAATTTATAACCCAATAACAAATTACATTAGGTGTGTAGCTCTATGCCTACTCAAATGGTTCCATAGTGGCTGAAAAACTTTTTAGGATGATCCATAAGAACATAAGAGTAGATGGGCAAGAGCACACTAGTGGTCCATCTAGCTCAGCATCTTACCCAGGATGGTCCATACGAATGTAAGAGTAGATGCGCAAGAGCACACTAGTGGTCCACCTAGCTCAGCATCTTACCCAGGATGGTCCATACGAACGTAAGAGTAGATGCGCAAGAGCACACTAGTGGTCCACCTAGCTCAGCATCTTACCCAGGATGGTCCATACGAACATAAGAGTAGATGGGCAAGAGCACACTAGTGGTCCATCTAGCTCAGCATCTTACCCAGGATGGTCCATACGAATGTAAGAGTAGATGCGCAAGAGCACACTAGTGGTCCACCTAGCTCAGCATCTTACCCAGGATGGTCCATACGAACGTAAGAGTAGATAGGCAAGAGCACACTAGTGGTCCACCTAGCTCAGCATCTTACCCAGGATGGTCCATACGAATGTAAGAGTAGATGCGCAAGAGCACACTAGTGGTCCACCTAGCTCAGCATCTTACCCAGGATGGTCCATACGAACGTAAGAGTAGATAGGCAAGAGCACACTAGTGGTCCACCTAGCTCAGCATCTTACCCAGGATGGTCCATACGAACGTAAGAGTAGATAGGCAAGAGCACACTAGTGGTCCACCTAGCTCAGCATCTTACCCTGGATGGTCCATACTGAAGTAAGAGTACATGGGCAAGAGCACACTAGTGGTCCATCTAGCTCAGCATCTTACCCAGGATGGTCCATACGAACGTAAGAGTAGATAGGCAAGAGCACACTAGTGGTCCATCTAGCTCAGCATCTTACCCAGGATGGTCCATACGAACGTAAGAGTAGATAGGCAAGAGCACACTAGTGGTCCATCTAGCTCAGCATCTTACCCTGGATGGTCCATACTGACGTAAGAGTACATGGGCAAGAGCACACTAGTGGTCCATCTAGCTCAGCATCTTACCCAGGATGGTCTATAGGAACGTTAAGAGTACATGGGCAAGAGCACACTAGTGGTCCATCTAGCTCAGCATCTTGTTCCCAACAGGGGACAGTCTGGTGCCACAAGGAAGCCCATAACCAGGACTTGCAGACAACACCCCCTCACCTGCTGCCTGCTTCCCAGCATTTGACCATCAGAGGCAGTCTGCCTCTGGACTTGGAGATCCATGTCAGCTACCACGGCCAGCAGCGAGGGAATATCTGTCCTCCATAAACTTGTTTAACGTCCCCTTGTTAAATCCACCTAAACCACACGCAACGCACGCTGACGGGCGATACAAAGAAATCCAAAACCAACCTCTTGGGAGTTCCCCTGCTTACAGTTACCATTTTCATCAGACAACATGGTGCCCCTGCCATAACTGAAGAGGGCTGCGACACCCTCCGTTTGCTCGTGTCCCTCGATTGGCTCACCTTATTTCACCAACTTGCCTCAGAACCTCCTCTTGAGTTTTCACAGCCGTATCCAATCCTTGAAGAGGCACCTTGGGAGGGGAGGGAAAAGGAGGAGGAAGAAGTCACACAGAGCGTGCTGGTGAGGCCAAGAATGGCAAAATGCCGAATGGTGTCACCTGTGACATGATTGCCAAAGGAGAACCTTAAATCTACCTGCCCTTGCTGGCCTGGGACACCAGCTCCTCTTTTTGAAATCTCGTCTGACAAAGTAGAGACGTATCTCCTCTGCTCATCCAGGATCATATCCAGTTGCCGGTTGAGCTGCTTTATTTCAAGATGGATTCGGTTTTGGCCCTCGAAAATTTGCCTCAGTTCACGGTCGCTCACTGACTCAAAGAAATCATCTGCTAGGAAAATGGAATAAAGGAAGAGAAGATAACTCTAGCCGCTTTGCATTTGAAGTATTTAATATCCTACTTTCCTAGCACATGCTCAAAGTGTTTTGCGACATGACAACGCAACCATCACAGAATAAAAAGCCATAACGAAATAAATAGACAATGCATCAAAGATAGGGCCTCAAATACTCACAGATGCATATTCATCACATATCAGAGTGGATCTAAACAACCATGAACGATACTCTGCTTGAAGGACGTATTGTCGCTATTTCCCCCTTCGTATGGCTACTCCTAGTATTGACTAATTACTGTTTCTGGAAGATGTGGATCCTCGGGAGCAACGCAAGAGCGTGAGAGACCACAATAGGAACCCCTGGGAACAGCGTGAGGGCGTGAGAAGCTACAATGAGAAGGGCACACCCAAGGATTTTGCTTTTACTTTCAAATCCTTTGCACAATGTGATGCCGTCTCACATCTACTGCTATAATATTTTATGCATGCAGTGGGACTGAGCATCACCATTCAGCGCTTGAGCGCAGCTGCACACAACACCAGAGCAGCCAAGCCTCTGCTCACTACATAAAACACAGAAGACTTAAGCAAGCATCACAGTAAAAAGGTCTTGGAAAAACTAGTTTTGACTTCAATAGGAACTATTCCCGAGAACACAACACGAGAGTGAAACAAGCGGAAAGGAAATTAAGCCACAGACTGGGCAAGTGACAGCAATACATTCTAAGCATGGCGCAAGGATGACACAAGGACATGACCAACTACACATCCAGGCCGCCTGGCAGCCGTTGGTATCTGATTTCACATCCCACTGCAAAGAGAAGTAGCTTATCTGGGCCACTCTTCAAATTCCATATGGCTTCAAGGTGTGCCAGCTCTGGAGACTTACTGGTCCCTGGCTACAGATCAAGACAGGCAGCCATGTGAGTCTGGCTGCAGCAGCAGGAAGAATCCAGTAGCACCTTAAAGGCTAACAAAATCTGCGGCAGGGTAGGAGCTTTCCCTTCTTCAGATGCAACTAGAATGTGAGTCCATCTGTCCTTTATATCTGAAATCATTCCGCTTTCCAATATACAGGACGGATGGACTCACAGTCTAGCTGTATCTGAAGAAGTGAGCAGTTAACTCACGAAAGCTCCTCCCCCTGCCACGAATTTTGTTAGTCCTTAAGGTGCTACTGGACTCTCTTCTGCTGATCCCTGGCTGTTCCTTGGATAGACAGCAAAGCTGTATTCAGACACATCAAAAAAAAACCCATGGTGTATTCTTTATAAGAATGAGCCTTGAGAGTCCTCGAGGCTTACATGTTCCCTCCCCTTCCGGCGCGCGTCAGATATGAGAGATGTGGCACACAGCAAATCACACTTTACGGTGGAGTCGGATTTGGAGGCAACAAACTTTGGTTTGCGCTCTAAAAAGCCGGATTCCAAACCATGGTTTAACCTTTGTAGGCAAGAAAGCAAGACGCAATTAGTCGCTTCTTCTGACATCACGACAAACCATGGTATGCCGGGAACCATGAAGCCTTCAGTATCCAAACTATATGTGCAGGAAGGGGGGAGCACAAACCAGAGGACCCCCAGGGTTCATTCCCATAACAGTAAGGCTCACCAGAACCATTAGCGAAGATACACTGTTAAGTTCAGATCGTATGAAGGTTTGCATGCTTCAAAGGACAGGCAGGTCCACAGACTGCAACATGCCCCTTCTGCTTGGTCACTTTGCCACCTACCTATCTGTCCTTCCACATCGGGGTGCTCCTTCTGGAACTCCTCCTTCTTTTTATCGAGCTCTTGCTGGAAATGCTCGAACTCTTCTTGGTATTTTTCTTTGTCCTTCTCGGGAATTTCTGTGTCAGGGGTAGGCTATAAAAGCAAGTTTTAAGAGGAAAACTGGTTAGGTGGGCGTCGTCAAGTGTTTCTGCTGAGGATTCTTAGCATGAGGGCTATACCCCCCCCCACCCCAGAACCTCATCGCAAGAACAGTTCACGTAATTCTTTTTTTCTTTAAAAATATTGTGGAATAATCAGTCTTCAGTCCATTGCTCTTCCTGGGCCAGTCCTCACATGTCAATAACCCAACCATGGATTAGTCACCACTCCATTAAAAACCAAAAGACCCCGAAGTATTGGGAAAATGCCTACTTCTACCATTGTTCAACCGTAGTGACTGTACAGACAACCACTCCCTGAAGATGCATTATATTCTGTTCCAAACAATTTTGCCTGGGGAGACTTTGTCATCTAGCCTCTTCCAGCTGCTCCACCCCCCACCCCTCGCCTGCTGGTGCCTTTAAAAGAAGCTGCTACGTAAAAGTCCTGCCTTATGCCTGGGCAGACTTTTCTAGTTAATAGTTAGTATGTCTGGGGCAGTGGTGCTCTGTGTTCTTGGTGCTTGTGGGGGCCACAGTGGGAGGGCTTCTGGAGTTCTGGCTCCGGTGGTGGACCTCCTGATGGCACCTGGGTTTTGGCCACTGTGTAACATAGAATGTTGGACTGGATGGGCCACTGGCCTGATCCAACATGGCTTCTCTTATGTTCTAAAGAGCAGAGGTCCATCAATGACTATTAGCCAGAAGGTATAGAGGAAATACTCTGTCTGGGGTAGGGGTGTGCAAAAAAATAATAATCTGGATTTCTTGGGTTTGGATATATTGGACCCCCCCCCCCCCAATTCAGGATTTCTGAAAAATCCCAGATCCCATCCCAATACTGGTATTGTATTCGGATCCATGATTTTTTGGAAATCCTGATTTTTTTTCCAGGTCCAACAGACCCAAGGGAGGAGGGAAATAGCGGCAAAGCCAGAAGAAAAACAGCTGACAGAAGGAGCAGATTGCTCCCCCATCAGCTGTTTTTTATGCTTCCCACTGCATTCCTTTTAAACAGGTGGCGTTTAAAGGGATTGCAGAAGACAACTCAACAAACAGCTGACCTGTGGGGGAGCAGTCTCCCCGTGGGGCTCAGCTGATATTCAGGCTGGCTTCTCCTGCAGCCCCCATTTAAACGAAGCTGGAAGAGAATCTGGATTTCTTGGGTTTGGATATATTGGGCCCCCCCCCCCCCAATTCAGGATTCCTGAAAAAAACCAAATTCCTATACTTGTATAGTATTTGGATTTTTTTCTTCCCAGCTCCGTTATAGCCTATGGGACCATTACAGTCAATGGGGAATCTATCGGGGGCTATCCAGGGGCGTGGGGTTTTTTTGAGGTAAAAGCGCCAAAATTTCAGTGTGGTTTCTGGTGCCTCTCCTCAAAAGACCTTCCATGTTTCAAAAAGATTGGACCAGGGAGTCCAATTCTATGGGCCCCCAAAGAAGGTGAATCCACCCGCCATTGTTTCCAATGGTGGGGAAAAAACAAGGACTGATGTCAAACCAGACACGTGCCCTCCCCCATTAAAGAAAAATAGGAATGCACTGGGGAGGGTAGTGTTCTTCTGTATCGGTGCCCAACTGGGTAAGGCCCACTCCACACTGATGGCATGGTTGTTGAGTTTTAGGCTCCAGAGAAAAACACCCCCACCCCACCCTAATTCTGATTGGGCTGTTTTGATCTGTTCTTGCCCCACCCAGCTTCCCATTGCTCTGTTTAGCTTCCCAGTGTTGTTTACTAGTCTGAACATTTCATGCTGGTTTCATCATCATCATCATCATCATCATCCTCCTCCTCCTCCTCATCATCATCATGCCAGTATTCGTGCAGGTCTTTTAAACTGCTTGCTTTATATTTTTTAAAAGTGTTGCTAGAAGCTACCTTAGGTATAAATATATAACGCAAACATATACGTTGCAATGAGGCAGGGTTTAACTATCTTAAATAAATAGATTATCTTTTAACTAGAACATGCAGCTTAGCACCAAAGATATTCTCCTTAACTAAAGACTGATCATTACTCTTTTGACAACCCCCAGAATTCAAAACACACGATAAAGCCCATTAAACGGAAATAAAGAGATTGTTCCAGGATCTGGCCTCTCTTAAAAAGATTCCACCGGCTATAGATTACATGTTCTTATCACCTTTCTTGTAGATACTGGAGAATGCCCTTTGTGCTGCAGGAGTAGCTTTCTCAAGTAATGAGAATAGAGAAAACCCTTGTTTCCAAGACACCCCCTGGGATCACCCACAAGCAAGATATTTCATGGTTGAAGGATGCCTACCGCTTCTTTACCAGGCTCCGTCAACTGGAAAGTCAGGAAAGACAAGACATCATGGTCATCTGAGGGAAGGGAAAAAAAAATGAAACACATCGAGTTACTGGGGTGGAGCATCCCAGCAGCATAGAATTATTGTCAACACAGAAGCTAGACTTCCTATCCTCTGGCCCGCCCGAAGGTGTAGTTTCTTAGGGGAATGAGAAGCGCAGTGCCAAGCGCTGCCACTTAACACCAGTATCTCCCCCACCGCAACTGTGAATTCAGCAAATGCTAAAGCAATACTTGCGTGTGCACAACCTGTGAAACCTGGCCCAATGGGGTTCCACAGATAATGGACCCCCAAAGCCACTGAGGTCCACTCCAAACTATTCTCTGGGAAGCAGCTGCTGTCCCCCAGGTAGTTGTACTGCCTCAAACCGAGCAAACTATACAAGCACCCCTAACACTGGGCAAACCTGCCAGAAAACACATAGGTTCTGGTATGTTATTGCACTGCAAGTAAACTACTACAGTTACAATATAAGAAAAGGATTTATTTAAATGAAAAGAGGAATGGGAAAAAAACCCCAAAACCCACAGTAGACATTTTCAGATTTCAATACGGAAGAAAAACTACAAAACTAGGTGGAACTACACAACACCTAACTCCAAAAGCAGAAGTTCCCTTAGTTGCTAGGTAGGTATTTACAAATGTCCATAAGGAATCCGGGACCAAAAAAAAAAACCAGGGTTCCAGCATACAAAGCAAGAAGCTACACATTGCTCCCTAATACACAAGTGTCATGCTATCAGTAGCCCCCCACTTTTTTCTTTTTACACCAGTTGATCCACTGCGGTTATACTCTTGTGGCCCTCTATTCAGTATCATAGAATCACAGAGCTGGAAGGGGCCATACAGGCCATCCAACCCCCTGCTCAATGCAGGATCAGCCTAGTATAGGTGACTCCTATTAACCTAGAACATTTTATTTCTTTATTTGTCAGATTTACACCCCGCCCTCCCAGCCGAGGCCAGCTCAGGGTGGCTTACATAAAGGAAATAAAACACACACAAATAAGCAAAGGTATGTAGGTCCCGGACCATAAACGGCTTTAAATGTAAGAACCAGCACCTTGAAGCAAATTCGGTATGCTATCGGTAGCCAGTGCAATGCCTTCAGCACAGGCTGAATGTGCTCCCGCATTGGGAGGCCCATTAAAAGCCTGGCTGCCGCATTTTGCACTCGCTGTAGCTTCCAGATTTGCAACACGGGTAGCCCCGTGTAGAGAGCATTACAGTATTCCAATCTCGAGGTGACCATTGCGTGGATCACTGTTGCCGAGTTGTTGCGTTCGAGGAAAGGAACCGACTGCCTGATCAGCCGAAGATGGTAAAAGGCAGACGCGGCAGTGGCTGCTACCTCGGCCTTCAGTGTTAAGGAGGCATCCAAGAGCACTTCCAAACTCCTAACCTCCGGCGCTGGCACCAACGGAGCCCCATCGAAGGTCGGGAGTGGTATGCATAGATAAATCTTCTCAATGGGTGATTTCATGGTTTTCCCTCACAGGGTTCCACAATCCTACTAACTGGAGCTCTAGTTGGAAAAGATCCCTAAACCTCACCACTACGTTGAATCGATAAAGATGGTGCAAGGAGGACATGGGAATGTCTCTATTCCCAACAACAAACAGGCTACAGGTGGAAATAACGACTTCAGGGATTTTAAGCTACCCACGTTGTTAACCCTTAAGCACCACTTCAATGGGAAGGGAGAGCCAAAACCTCTACAGCATATATTTTACAGGCCAGCTAAAAGGAAAGTCCTTGAAGGCAACACTTGAACTTGTTCCTCCTGTCCACAACTCTTTCCTCCTGCAGCCTTCCAAGAATGGGACCACTTACTGCCAGTAATGGATGCTAATTATAGAGTTTCCAAATATATATATATATATTGGTTGACATAAGCTTAGTTTGCTCAAAAGAAAAAAAAAGAAAAAGGCCCAACATACAAACACAAGGAGGTACAACTTGAATAGTGAGAACTTACCCGCAAGACCACCGGTAGCTGCAGAGATCCCAAAGTATCCCTGAGATGGTAGCACCATGTCTTCAACTTTGGCACAAAATTCATAGTCTTCTTTGTCTGGAGTAAAACCATTGTTTATCAATACCTAAAATGAGAGATGTGAACACATGAAGCAGCCTTATACTGAGTCAGGTCTACTCCAACTGGAGGTGGCTTCTGAAGGTTTTCCTCTTATCCCTGCCATTTAGCCTCCTTTGAAGACAGATGCTATATCATACCAACCACACACACACACACACACACACACACACACACACACACACAAAGCCCTTTACCACTCATACTAAAGAGATGCTACATGTTAAAATCCTATGGAACTATGTCAAGAGCCTTAGCAAACTGTGATGAAGTTGTCACTTAACACACAAAGGGGGCAACATCTAAGTTGGTTGTTTCTCATGAGCAGGCTGCTACAGGTTCCAACTCCACATCTTAAAACAAACGACCAGTGGTTCGCCCACACTGAGTGAAGGAATGGAATGCTATGATGGTTCCCCCAGGATCCCCTTTTCTTCTTCTTGGCTGGGCAGCCACTTTTATTGCTTCTTTTTCAGCCTGTCCCACCCAGATATTTAAATGTGCACAGATATCTGCTGACCAGACTAGGGATATAAGGGACCAACTAAAAATCTCGCTTTTGTCTTTGTTAACGGCACACAAGAGGCCGAAGATCATTCAAAACTAACAAATTGTTTTATTGAACATATGAGGGGAAATGGTCAGGTAGGTATCAGGTTTAGGGCTTAAGAGGTGAACAGGCAACAGGAATGAGGTAACTTTGTCACAAATACACAGCTGTTTAGTTGCACAGACAGGTCTTTAAACACTGAAGAGAGAGATCTCTTGGCAGTCTCTGCTTAAATAAACTAGCATAAGCTTCTTTGTCTCCAGGACACTTAAGTTGGTGAAGGCAGGAACATTCATAAGAGTTCAGGTATCCCTTCTTAACCACTTGACAGGGATCACCCCCCTTTTTCAGTGAGCTATTTCCCTCAGAATGGATAGAGATCACCCTCCTTTACTAGGAGCTATTTTCCTCTGGCATGAAAGGGGATTCTTCTTGATCCTCTTCACTCTCTTAACCTTACTTCCCAGTCAACTGTTAGTTCTTAACTGCCACTCTTAACTGTAGAATTCCATTTGAACCCCCTGTCACTCAAGGTTCTCAAACCGGGTTAAAGCATTAACCATTTACAGTCTGTCACAGATGCATTTGAAGTTACATGGTACTTTTCCAACCAAACAGTGCTAATTTGTAAAGCCTTTCTGTGTTGTACCATCACCCAAACCCTGGGCTTCTCTTCCTAGCTTGTGTATATGTGTGTGGGATGTGCTACATTAACAGACCATCACAACGAATGTATAAACTGAAAGCACATTAGATGAAAGTTACTAGCCCCACTTGGTATCCGCACATGTCTTATCTCACTCAGCCTTATCTCTCACAATCATCAATATGGAGGTCATCAGGAAGTCTGTACAGTCAGGGAGATTCTAATTTTAAACACACACTTGAAGAAAAGCCCATGAATTTGGAACGCTTACATGCAAGGTCTTTTGGTAGTATATGATCTTTGCTCGGACAGGGTAGGGTTTGTTACGAAAGTCTCTCTGACACGATGCCAGCGCTTGCGTGGAACCATCGCTGAAAAGAGAGAACAAACACCAGCTTGAAAAACCCAGAAGAAAAGTTGCTTAGCTTAAATCTAAAACAAATGTAGCAGAGAGAACAGCTGAAGAGATTTAAAAGAAACATGTAAATGAACAAAAAAGTACAAGGAATTTATTCAGAAACCGAAATACTACAAACAACTTTAACTGAATTTCATTAACACTAAATCATGATTTTAAAAAAGAGAAATATACCATAGGAAAAAGCCTCTGGACCAGAAACCAAAGTGGAAGAAGAAGGAAGAGAAGAAGAGAAGAGATTGGATTTATACCCCGCCCTTCACTACCTGAAGGAGTCTCAGAGCGGCTTACAATTTCCTTTCCCTTTGGGTTTCCAAATGTTGGCAAGAGAGAATCAGCGCATGGGCCACATTAAACCAACGGTTTTCAAAATGTGCTCCAAAGAACCCTGCACATGTTATCAGAGGTCCTTGTGTGGGAAGACAGCCACTAGAATGATGATGCACAAACTTTTCTGAAAGGTGGCTCATCAGCAATGACCAGTCTTCTCTGTGTAATTTTATCTTGCCACTCTGCCAAGGGGTTCAAGGTGGCACAAATGGGTTCTCCCTTCCGCATTTTATCTTCACAACCATCCTATGAGGTAAAAGAGTGTGACTGGCCAGCCGAAACCCAGTGAGTTTTACAGCCAAGTCAGGAGTCTGAGCTCAGATTACCTCAGCTCTAGTCTGACACTGTGTTACGGCACCACACTGACTACCCAAGACCTAGAGATTTGACCTGGGATACACACAAGACAACAGCCAGGCCCAAAAGGCCTGGCCGTCACCACCTATGACCCAAGGGCACCCCTTCAAACTTTCTCACAACCTGCTTTCCTTTCCCCGTATGTCCCCCCGAGAGCACTGAGATCTGGGTCACAGGATCGATTAGTCCCCCCTGGCCCTAGGGACGCCAAATTAACATCCACGAGATCTAGGGCGTTCTCTGTTGTAGCACCAACACTATGGAATCAGCTCCCCCAGGAGATCCACGCCCTTCGGGATCTCAGTCAGTTCCAGAGAGCGGTGAAGACGGAGTTGTTCCGCCAAGCATTTAACAACTTAAATTGAGTATGTCAGCGTCTATAGTCGCCATCTTGTGTATCTTATAATGTGTATTTTATAATGTCAGTAAACCGTGATTTTAATGTATTGTATGCTGTTTTACAGGTATTGTTTTACTGTTTTAATGTTGTAAGCCGCCCTGAGCCGCTTCGGCGGGAGGGCGGGATAAAAATCAAATAAATAAATAAATAAATAAATTCTCCCCTCACCCCCAGACCCCGTTCTTCCATGATTGACATTTAAGGGCTCACAACAAATGAACTGAGGCAAAAAAAAAAGGGATTCCCTGAAGTGAGACAACCTGGAAGTCACTGCTAGTTCACAGTGAAAGCAAATAAAGAATATGTTCCGGAGAGTAAGTGTGCGTTCCCATTATAAGGAACGAGTGCTTGTGCTTCACACCAAAAACTAATGCGCTAACCTGGGGAGGGGGGGGGGGCAAAGAGGTTTGGAATGTTCTACTTTTTGTACTATCCGAACTGAAATCTTTCCTGCACACAAAGTCACAGCGTGGCAAGGTGCCGCGGCCAGCTTTTCAGTGAGAAGCCTTCAGCCGTGTAGCGCAGCCAGCTGGAGGAAGCCTTTCCAGCTTAGTATTCCCTTTCTCTGACAAATGGAGAACAAAGTGGGGGGGGGGGGAAGCTGGCTTCCAGTGGGAGCTTCAGGGATGGCCGATGGGTTCTGAGCAGCTCTTCTAAGTCTTTGCCTCGTCCCATCCGGCTGGTGGTGCTTTCAGCTTCAACGCTTAAAATTATTTAGGTCTCTGATCCTTGCTGTCAGCTATGCTGCCACGGGGGTTCGGGAGTTTATTCTGTGTCTTGTTAATTGCCATTGCATTCCTATCCCTGCTGTTACGCCTTTGCTGAAACGCTTATCTCTACAGATGTGCAGGAGGAGGTTGTGGTGTCTGGAGGGCTTCTATGTACCGTGAGACTCAAGAGTTCTCAGCTTTAGCCACCTAACGGTTGCCTGACTTATCCCACGCGTGGGAGGGTGCCTAATTGGCCAAAGCCATGGGTGTGTGTGTGTGCATACGAATACCCTATATCCTATTATGCTCTACTGGCTGTGGCCATTCTTAACAGTGCCTATGTTACTGCATCTATAGCTTTGTAATAAAAGTATAACCGTCCCTGAATGCGTATACTTCGTTGTTAGCTGTGGGTTCTGACACTTGCACCAGGTACGCCTCTGGATCAAGATCCACCACTCTGGCTGGGGAGGGGGGGAAGGGGGGGGAAGGAGGGGAAAGGAAGAGAGCAGCTCGTGGAAGAGGAACTTCACTCTGTGCCAGTAGGCTAAGGGTGTTGACTGGAAAACATGAGGCAAGAAGAGAGCCTAAATAACAGGTAATCGCTGGAGATTCCTTTGGTGAAGCATGGGCGGGGGGGCGGGCAGAAAACAACACAACCGATGGTGCCAGTATGTTAAGGTGCTAATATAGAAATGTGGGGGACAAGGATAAAGCCCTCTGGAGCACAAGGAAAAATAGCCAGAAGGGGATTTAAAGTGCCCTAAGGGTTTGAGTGCTGGGAACGAGAAAACTGGACGATGGATTGATATGCTACACTTGGGTGGGAAAAAACAAGGAGTCGTAAGAGCATTAGAGAAGCCAATGTTGGATCAGGCCAGTGGCCCATCCAGTCCAACACTCTGCCACACAGTGGCCAGAAATACCGGGTGCCATCAGGAGGTCCTGAACACAGATCCCAGTCCTAACCCAACACTCCACACATGCTTTCAGGCTAAAAAGTACTGCATGGGAGTTGAGTTGGGAGGAATGAGGAACTGTGTGGAATCAATGCTATTTTCAAGCCTAATTTTAAACTTTTCTTTTGCTTGTGTTTAAATTAGCTATAACACACTCGAAGGCCCTGGGATTAGGTGGGTGGAAAAATATAACCCAATGGAAGGATTCTTAAAACCATTTCTTCCTAGTATAGACATCCTTCCAGCTGGTTTCCACCATCAACAGAGATCCAACCAACACACAACTTACTTCTGATGGTCGTAATGCAGTTTGCCATTGTTGCCAACAATAACTATTGCCGGATTGTTTTTCTGCAGGAAAATGGAAATACAAGTAAGAACACACTCCAATTTAACCATGACGTTAAACCAGAACTATATAAACTTGAGATGGGGAGAGGTTGCGGCTCAGGACCTGCTTGGCATCCAGAAGGTCCCAGGTTCAATCCCCGGCATCTCCCATTAAAATGATCAGGTGGTAGGCAATGTGAAAGTCCTCTGCCTGCAATCCTGGAGAGCCACTGCCAGTCTGAGTAGACGATACTGAGTTTGATGTATCCACAGTACAAAGTAGCTTTCATGTGTACGTTACTGTTCCTACCCCGGCAAGATGATATCACCAGGCAACAGGCCCAACGGCACTAGGAAGTATTTTTTTTTTAAATAGGAGACTCTGAAGTCCTGCACCAATCATAATTCAGTCACTCATGAACATTTAATGTAGACTTTACATGCCTTATCAGATAATACCCAACACTGAGTTGAAGCATTTAGTGGTTCATTCTTAGCCAGTAAGCAGATTACAATGAAAGGCATTGTTCAGAAATACAACGTGAACAAACTAAAGGGATTAAACAGAGCTAGAGAAATCAAAGCCAAGGACTTAGTCAACACCACTATCTATACACTGGATGGGGGTGGGAAGAGGAGAGAAAACTCCTGCAAAGCTGTTTTGTGCCTTGGACCACACTTGCTGGTAGTAGCCATATTAAGGGGGGTCTCTTAATCACGTGCTGGCCAACTGGCTACTGTTCCAAACTTAAGGGCCGCAGCTTTCATAAATGTTTCTACACTTTGCCTTGTCCTGGATGGCCCAGGCGAGGCCAGTCTCGTCAGATCCTGGAAGCTAAGCAGGGAAAGCCCTGGCAAGTACTTGGGTGGGAGACCTCCAGAGAATACCAGGGCGGGGAGGCCAGAAGCAGGCTATCAAGCCACGTCTCTGAATTTCCTCCATGCCCCAATAGGAGTCGCCAGAGGTCGCCATGACTTCCAGGCACGGGCATCCACACAGACACAAAGCAAAAAAAAAAAAAAAAAAAGAGTTTCTAAACTTTGTGAAAACAGAGGGCCACATATTTCTTGACCTACCCAAGGAAAATAGCTTTTAAAAACAACGTGATGGTTTTAAAGGATATGGATCATGATTAAGAGCATAAGAGAAGCCATGCTGGATCAGAGCAATGGCCCATCCAGTCCAACACTCTGTGTCACACAGTGTCAAAACGCAGGTGCCATCAGGAGGTCCTAGTACTGACCTTTAAAGCCCTATGTGCTCTGGGACCAGCATACCTTAAGGATCACCTCCACCCATACGAACCTAACCGCTCACTCCAGTCACCTTCACAGGGCCTGCTTCAGTTGCCCCCCCCCCCCCACTTTGTGACTAGACAGGTGGCAACCTGGGAAAGGGCATTCTCCATTGTGGCACCGAAGCTTTGGAACTCCACACCACACCTCAAAAAGGATATTATAGCATTGGAAAAAGTGCAGAAAAGGGCAACTCGAATGATAAAAGGGTTGGAACACTTTCCCTATGAAGAAAGGTTAAAATGCTTGGGGCTCTTTAGCTTGGAGAAACGACGGCTGAGGGGTGACATGATCAAGGTTTATAAGATTATGCATGGGATAGAGCAGGTTGAGAAAGAAGTACTTTTCTCCCTTTCTCACAATACAAGAACCCATGGGCACTCAATGAAATTGCTGAGCAGTCGGGTTAGAATGGATAAAAGGAAGTACTTCTTCACCCAAAGAGTGATGAACACATGGAATTCACTGCCACAGGAGGTGGTGGTGGCTACAAGCATGGACAGCTTCAAGAGGGAATTAGATAAGCATATGGAGCAGAAGTCCATCAGTGGCTATTAGCCACAAGGTATAGATAGGAACTCTCAGGCTGGGGCGAGTGATGCTCTGTATTCTTGGTGTGTGTGGGGGCAACAGTGGGAGGGCTTCTAGTGTCCTGGCCCCACTGCTGGACCTCCTGATGGCACCTGGTATTTTTGGCCACTGTGTGACAGTGTTGGATTAAATGGGCCATTGGCCTGATCCAGCACTGGCTTCTCTTGTCAACTCCTTCCCTAGGGAAATTTGTCTGCCTCCCTCTATCGGTGTGTTCCACCATCCGGGGAAGACTTTTGCTTATTTGGCACAGCCCCAAGAATGGGCATTGGCCATCCTTCCTGGTCCCGGTGTTGCTTGTGTGTTTTTATTGAATGATTTTTATAATTTCAAATGTATTCTTAATTGTTCCAATGCTTTAATGATTTTTATGTCTGCCGCCTTGGGGACCCTGATTGGGTGGGAAGGAGGGATAAAAATGCCTTCAATAAATAAAAGTGTTTAAACATTTTCTGCTACCCCCCGCCATCAGCCGTATTGCAACATGGGAGCAGCTACAGAAGCAGCGCAAGTTACTTGCACATCTCCCAACACTTGTACAGGCTGTGCAAAGTGGGAAATGCACAACAGCATCCTCTTTAATGTACAAAGCCGCCCTCCCATTACACCACTTGGGCTGGAAGCAAATTGCCCATTCTTAATTGCATACAATCCACTGGGTTTCACAGACGGCAGTAGTTACGCCCAGACGAAACATGCACATTAGCCACTGAAACCTAGTCTGTGACAGCATGTTCCTTTCACAGTAGTTGAAGAAGTGCACTTTTCAAAGTACAGGCTGATCTTTGAGCTGCAATGCAAGAGATGACTGTCAGGGACTTCCTTTTTTACTGACATTACAAACAAACAAAGCCCCTTGTTCTACCTTTTCAAAATTCTACCACACTACAAAGTAGGATGGAATACCAATGTAAGAGGTAGGTGACCTTTAAGAATCTGTGCACTTCTTACCATTTCATTGTTTGAGCTTCCGCGCTGATGCTGTGCCCCGTCTGGAACACATTTAGCATATGAAACTATCTTATACTGAATCAGACCATTGGTCCGACAAAGTCAGTACTGTCTACCCAGACTGGCAGCGGCTCTTTAGGGTCTGGTAGAGGTCTTTCACATCACCTGCTACCTGATGCTTTTAATGGGAGATGCTGGGGATTGAACTAGGGACCTTCTGCATGCCAAGCAGGTGCTCTACCACTGAGCTATAACTACTCACACGCTAAGGTAAAGTGTCAGCCTATTTCAACATTCACTCGAGAGAAGATTAATGGTGTGAACTGCAGTGCAGACCAGTAAATTCAATTAAATAAGTTTATATAGAACTGTCACCTGAAGCCTTGAAACTCAATGGGACTTCTGAGAAAATGTGGACAGGAACTAGCCATAACCTGTGTGCTCATATCAGATGCTCATTTCACAAGGACTCTGACAAAACAGATCAAGCCCTGCTTCCAGGCATTCTTCCTGATACAAACATTTGGCAAGGCTTTCCACTAACCTTTGCATCGTTGTCGAAGGAGTCAAAGAAGATGCCGACGCCGTTCCAGTTATCGGCTGCTCCAAAAACCTGGCCGTCTAAACCTTGCCCTTCAGTAAACCAGACTGCCTGTTCAGAGAGATTCAAATCCCAGATTTCAGGTTCTCAGTTTCACACAACGGAACTGTTTGCAAAAGCAACCATTCAACGTACCAGTCCGTCTGCTCCTATTCGTCCCCTGCCAGTCACTCGGAAGGTCACTTCAATCTCCCAGTGTTCAAATAAAGATTTGTTTTTTGTCCATACCGATCCCCTTTGGCTCTTCAATGACGGAGTTATCCTTATCTGATCTGCACTGGGTATAGCATCTAAAAAGGAACATCAGTAAACTGATTATTTTAAAAGTTCATGATTTCTGAAGGAATCATGCATGCTACTATGACCCTTTCCCTGCTTCCTTTTTCCTCCCCCCCCCACTTAGCCAAGCGGCTCATTTTCCTTCTTCTTCATTTCTCTGTCTGTCCCCTCAATATTTAAAATGTATCTAGACATATTGTTACCCAGCCTTGGATGCAAGGGAACCGAAAAACCTTGTGTTGACATATGTTTGATTATGACACACAGGAGGCTGATATGAATTCATAACACATAAACTGTTTTATTTCACTTTTATTGGGAAACTAGGAAAAAAACCCGTTATGGAAATAAATACAACGGTCTCTAGAAAGAGGCTCTGGGTGGGTGTCCCGGCCTTGGACACTCAGTGTCAATTTGCTGTGACGACCTCAGCAGGGTATAATGACACTGAGTCCACCATTTTCTCCAGAGGAACTGATCTCTGCTATCTAAAGAACAGTTGTAATTTTGAGTGATCTCCAGCCCTCACCTGGAGATTGGCAATGATGGTTCCCCAGAAGGGAATGGTTGGTTTGTAGGGTGGAGTCTATGGCTTTGTACCTGTCCGAGGTCCCACGCCTCCTGAAACCTCACCCTCTCCAGGCTCCATCCCTCACATCTCCAGGAATTTCCCACCTGGAGTTGGCAACTCTATCTCCTTCCCAGCCAATCATCAACCTACCTTTATTTCCCCCTCACTCTTCAGCTTTCCACCCCCCACACACCTGCAGCCTCTCCCATGCTCTGAAGCCCTGACAGTTACGTCACATTGGCTGTCATACAGGGGCCACCTCAGCAGCATATAAGGATATAGAGCCCACCATTTTCTCCAGGGGAACTGATCTCTGCCATCTGGAAAGCAGTTGTAATTCTGAGTGATCTCCAGCCCTCACCTGGAGATTGGACACATTTTACCTCCGAACAGCAAACTGTTTAGAATGTTAGAGGCAAAAGCCAATCAAGTCACATATGCAAACAACCTCTGTGTTCCGAGGCAAAGGCCAATGAGACTGTATATGCAAATAACCTGTGTTCTGACTGGCTACGGGGGGGGGGGGGGGGAAAAACAGCAAACTGTTTAGAATGTTGGAGGCGAGACTCAAGCAATGCAGCCAGTGGATAGGGACAGATTCTGAGTGACACACCAGGGCGCAAACCAATTCCGGAGCATATGGAATGTTCTAGAGAAGTGCCACCACCATTCGGCTTTTATATATAAGGGAGATGGTCAAGTCAGACGGTCAGAGAGGTTTCAGTTTTAAACGTGGCAGGTGATCTGGAGCTTATTATGCACGGAAAGGCACATTACTAAAATGCAGTGCAATTAATAAAACCTGTGACAGGGTAGCAGAAAGAGTATTACAAATTAGTCCATTGACAGTGATAACCCTGGCCGCATACATCCACCATCTGAAATATAGAACAGAAAAGCCAAAATGAAGTCCTAGTTCTGTAAATTGCTGCCTTAAAAAAACAATTGCTTAAATTCTCATAATCCTCTCTGTCCCCATGTTATAACATTAATTAAATCACAATTCAGCAAACCCCAGGTGACAGGTTGCCATGGCATCTAGAAATTTTATTGTGGCACCTAATGTTTTCAGCAATGTAGTCTGTCTTTGCGATCCTTAGTAGAGGTACAAAGCTTATTTATCATTTCACATTTTTTAAAAATGTTGTATAGCATTGATATTCATATGCATGAAGTTCATGTCCCTGCTTCTTTACATGTTAATTTTTAACCCCATTTGATGGTGCTACATGAATTTCTTAGCCATTTGCTTTCTATGTTGGCTCCAATGTTCACTTAAGTGGAGCTGTTAGAAGTAATAATGAAATTATGAGAAATTGGGGAGAAGTTATGTTTAGGATTAGAGGTTAGCTTTTTGTTGTAGCTGGCACATCTAAGGTAACCTGTATTTATTTAATGGGGAGGGGCCAGGCTCAGTGGCAAAACATCTGCTTGGCATGCCAAAGGTCTCAGGCTCCATCCCCAGCATCTTCAGTTAAAGGGACTAGCCAGTAGATTATGTGAAAGACCTCTGCCTGAGACCCTGGGGAGCCGTTGCCAGTCTGAGTAGACGATAATGATTTTGATGGACCAGTGGTCTGATTCAGTATACAGGAGCTTCATGTGTTCATGAACTTATATACTACAACACTTTCGTCAAGCTAATGGCAGTGTCGTGTGGAACTCTTGTTGTTCTGGGTCTATCCTTCCAGAACCCCATCTTCTGATTAATGGATTTCTGACAACCAGAGCACTCGGACTTTATTGTATTGTATAAGATAGTTTTATTCTGTTTTTAACTGTTGTAATTTCTGGCATACGTGCCTCTTCTGTGAGCCGCCCTGAGCCCGCTCTGGGGAGGGCGGGGTATAAATTTAATTATAAAATAAATAAATAAAGAGGTTTGGATTAGGGTTTGTGAGAACAATGATGAGGAAATATAGTCATTACAACACAAACCCCAGAGGTGTAGAAAGTGAGTCTGGCTCCTAATATTTTGGGCTGGCTCCTAGAGCCAAAGAAAAATGGTTAAGGGCTGAATTAAGTACAATTAAAGCACATCAAGGGACACAGCCCAGCGCTCTACTATAGTGAGTTCACCACCCTTAAGCAAGAATGTATAGGATCACCATTTCAAAACAAATTTATTTCTTAGGATTCTTTGCAGTTGGACGACACATTCAGCAAACACATAGGCCAAATCTAGACACTAATGCAAGCATAAACCAGCATGCCAGATGCCCACATGCAGTAAATGAGAATGTGCAGTTTCTAAAATAGGTCTGTGACGCCCTCTTATCTGGGGAGGTCTGGTTTGCCTTTAAAAGTTCTTATGTTTTTACTCTATAGGGTATTTTCGCCGCCACCAGGGAAATTTAAGACTTTCCCAGCCTCTTACTATAATATATTTCTTCTTCTGGTTTGGTAATGTGGCCAGGGTCTAGGCATTCATGAAGGACTATGTGTTATTTCCTGAGGAATTTCGTTCAGAACTGTTATCTTAAATAAAAGTAGATTTATTTGCTGTTTCACACACTTTTCTCTTCACTGACAGGGCTCTGGGCATGTCACTATGTAACAATAGTTTCCTTTAGCCATATATGGTCACTGTTTCTTTATGCTTTAACTTTTCTTAACACACACCAGACTTCTCTCTTATGTTTCACACAGGAACCGTCTCACACAGAGACCTCAGGACAAAACTAATATATTAACTGCTTTTGTACAGCACTCTCTGCTGTCTGACTAACTGTTTTACTCCGAACTAAGCAACCCACACAGGGAAGCCTCTTCTTATCTGTTTAACTGTACTGTCTAACTGTATCTCCACTCTGTAACTCAGAACTCTCTAACTGTCATCCTTAACTGTAACTCTTGACTGACATATCCGTTCATCCACACAGCATTCATTCCAAACCCCCTCCCCCTCTCTGTCACTCACCAATCATATCACTTGCCTGAGTTCAGCATCCTAGTCTGCCATACATCCATACAAACCACTTTTAAAGAC